TGAGCCTTGAGCAACCTGCTCTGGTGGGAGGTGTCCCTGCCCAGGACAGGGGTTGGGGCTGGGTGATCTCTAAACTCAATTCCAGCCCCTTAATATTCTATGATTCTCCCTCCCTTACACAACTTGTTGGATGAACAGATGGATGAAGGCACAAGCAGCTTCACGCATGGCCAACATGCCCATGTGGTAACCTAGAGGTGACCTGCTGTGGCCTAGGGCACAAGGGACACCCGTGCCATGGGGACACTGCTGCACAAGATGATCTCTCCTGCCATGGTATAGGGAGAGGACTAGAGGGAATGGCCTTGAGCTAAGCCAGGGCAGAGTCAGATTGGATGTGAGGAGAAATGTTTTCCCTGTTGTGGTGTTGAGGCCCTGGGATATTGCCCAGGGAGGTGGTGGAGTCACCATCCCTGGAGGTGTTTCAGAGGTGTCTGGATGTGGCACTGGAGGATCTGGTTTAGGGTTTGGGGGTCACAGCAGTGACAGGTTAATGGTTGGACTTGATGATCTTAGAGGTCTCCTCCAACCCTGATGGTTGTGAGACAATGGGGTGAAGGCCCAGGTGAGGCTGAGGGCTGCAGTGGCAGTTCTCATCATAGCAAATTTCACTCCCCCCCAGAGCCACAGGAAAGGCTCAGCCAGCCCTGGGTGGTTGGACACAGACCTGCCACCGTCCCCCAGCACCACTGGGCAACAAACTGCTCACCCCCAGGTCATTTCATAACACTACAGGTTGGCCTCACCTGACCTGATTAGCACATCGTTAATTCAAGGTTTGCTGCTGCAAATAGAAGGCTGTGGAGAGCACAGAGTGGCTCTGCCTCACAGCTGCCAGGAGAGCAGAGATCCCTGAGTCAGATCCCACTGATCCAAGATGCTGCCCCTGAGCTGGCCCTAGGGACAGGGCACCCACCCTAAGGACAGCCCAGGGCAGCTGCAAGCTGCTCCAGCAAGGCCACACTCATCCTCCTCACCTCCAGCATCTCTCAAGTTCTTCCTTGCTCACCCAGATGCTTTGGGTCCACACTTGGGTTTGATTCTGGCTCAGCACTGTCAGAATCTTCCTGCTTACCACTGTTCCTCCATGCCAGAGCTGCCAACAGCCTCATCCTCTTCACCTCCAGCATCCCTCAAGCTCTTCCTTGTTCACCCAGATGCTTTGGGCACTCCCTTGGTTCTGGTTCACCCCTGGAGCTGAGCACTGAGGTCAAATCATCCCTCCCCACCACTGTACCTCCATCCCAGAGCTGCCAACAGCCTCCTCCCAGGAACCTCACTCATCTCAACAACCTTTATCACCTGGGTACCAACTCCTCCCCAACACAGCCCACCTGTGTCCTGTGGGCTCTCCTGGGAGCCACCATGGCATGCCAGCCCCACCAGCTGCCAGGGCTTTAGCTGCCAGCACACGTTCCCTGGGGCCAGGACTTGTGATCTCTTTAACTGCACACAGGAGAGCTGCTTAGTTTACAGATTAGTGGGTGCTATTTCTGCCACAGTCAGAGGGACACGTGAACTGTGACCTTCACACTGGTGGGTGAAAGAGGAGGAGGAGGAGGCAGCAGCAGCCCCACCTGGATGAAGAGCTGTGCCTGGGGCACCTAATCCTGAGCTCTGTTTGTGGCTCTTTGTTATGGTCTCAGCAAGGCCCTGGGACTGGTGACACTCACAAGGCTCTGGAGGGATGGAGAGCAGAGTTCATTGTGGTTGGCTCCAGCTCAGTTTTATCCCAGCTGGGTGGATTCAGCCTTGCCCAAGCTGGGGAGCAGATATTTCCCCTTTTGTCCTCCCCAAACCAGTGGTGAGATGGACAGAGACCATATTCCTCCCCGTGCTCACACCATGGTCCAACCCAAGCACTGGGGAAGGAAGCAGAGTTAAAAATAATGAGAGGCTCTTCTACCTTTTTCCTGTGGAATAAATGCCATGGGGCTCCTCTCATCCTTCTCATCCCAACCCATCCCTCCAGCTCCACACACTGAATGAGGCACAGCTCAAACAGCTTTTTCCACTGGGGCAGGAAACCAGTGAGTGTGGGGTTGGAGTGTGTGAGGTCCCTGCATCATCCCTGTGTCCTGATGGACAGTGTCTGCCTCCCTGGGAATGGCCATGGAGCTTTCCAGGTTCCTCTGCTCCAGTTCCCTCCCCCACGGGCTCTGCACCCCAAAGGGAATGTGGATGCAGCTGGAACCTCCCAGCAAACTCCAGCGATCCCACACTGCCTTCCAAACCTCACCTGTGCCCAGGTGCTGCTCAGCCCCAGCACTATGCACCACAGCCACCTTACATAAACACTTGTTCAGGCCCTGCTGATTTCCCAAAGCCCCTCAGAGCTCCAGGGCTTCCTCCCCTGATCCGGATTAAGCAGCGTGGATGGCATTAGGCGGAAGGCAGGCACCTCCGCGCCCGCCGGAATTACTGCTCTGCTGTTAAGTAACGAGAGGGAGCACCATTACCCTCCACCCTCAGGGGTCTCCAGGAGGCTGAGGGGTCTCCAGCCACCATCCCTGCACGGACCCATCACCACTGTGTGTCCCCATGGCAGGTACTGGTGAGCGATTCACCCACCTCCATGTGGCTCAGCTCAAAATCCACTGGGTGGCTCAACTTCTTGGTGGCCCAGCCACAGGTTCCTCTCAAGGTTGGAAAGACAGGAGGAACCCCCAGGAGGGGGTTTTGGCATGTCTGTGCCAGTGGGTTGGGGCAGGAGGTGGTATGAGACTTTGCATCAGGGGTCAGCTCATGATGCCAAGGGCAGTGGAGAGCCAGGAGCATGGCTTGGCACAGCACTCCTGCCTCATCCTGATCCTCCTCCAGCAGGAACCAGCTGCCCCACACCCCCCCAGCAGTCCAGGGCTGCCAGGCACTCAGAGAGCAGACAGTGGCTGCTGCTCATCTGTAATTAATAGGTGCTAATCACCCTGTGCAGCTCAAGGAAGCCACATGCCCCTGGCCACGAGGAGCAAACCCTCTGGGGCTGCACCCAGGAGCTGTGGGAGCCTCAGTGCTGCCTGCAGCCCTGTCCTGCTGGGAAAAGCCTCCCTCATTCCTGACTCCTTCTTGACCCCTTCCTAAGAGCCCCTTCATCCCACCTCCCTCCTGCCTGCAGGGCACACTCGAAGTGACATGAGTGTCATCGTGGGCACCTGATGCTCACGGTAGCTCTGTCTCTCCTCAGCCAAGGGCAGAGCTCATAGAGTCATAGGGTTTTAGGGGTTGGAATGGAGCTTAGAGATCCCCCAGCCCCAACCCCTGCCCTGGGCAGGGACCCCTCCCACCAGAGCAGGTTGCTCAAGGCTCAGCCAACCTGGCTGTGAACACTGCCAGGGCTGGGGCAGTCACAGCCTCCCTGAGCTCAGCCCCAGTGCAGACAGCAGGTCCCCAAGGGTGATCAGCTCAGGCCCTGCTCACCACCCCAACATACCCTGTGAGGGTGGTGAGACACTGTCCCAGGTTGCCCAGGGAGGCTGTGGCTGCCCCAACCCTGGCAGTGTTCACAGCCAGGGTGGCTGAGCCTTGAGCAGACTTCTCTGGTGGGAGGTGTCCCTGTCCTGGATGATCTCTAAGCTCCATTACAACCCCTAAAACTCTATGAGTCTATGGTTTCAGGGGCCTGCTGAGGTCCCATGCTGCTGTCGTTCCCTTCTCCCAGGATCCTGCCCTAGGGATGGGTCTTTGCTGTACTATCACCCCAAGGGAAAAGAGCAGCAGGTGGAGGCAGAGCTCACTCCTGTCTGAGGAATGGGGGTTCACCCTATTATTACCCTGAGGAAGAAGCACAGTGGGAGCAGGGTGGAAACAGAGCTCTCTCCTGCCCAAGGGATAGGACTTTACCCTACCATCACCCCAAGGAAGAAGAGTAGTACGATCAGGGTAGAGGCAGAGCTCACTCCTGCTTCAGAGATGGGGCTTTGCCTGAGGAAGAAGAGCAGCAGGAGGAGGGTGGAAGCAGAGCTCACTCCAGGAGTTCTCCTGGTGCTCCCCACCACACTCAGCCCTCGTGGCTGCTGCCTTCCCCCAGCAGCAGAGCTGGAGAGGGAGGAGGAGCGAGGAGGCAGGTCCTGGTGGTGGGGAGAGCAGGGTGTAGAGGAGGAAGAGCATGGCCGCAGCTGTGTTGAGCAAGTGACACGGAGTGGGTGGACCTGTCCTGCGGGATGGAGGCTGAGAACATCAGTGTGGGCACTGCCTGACCCTGTGCTGAGCCGACCCAGTGGGCAGGGAGCTGCTGTGACCTGCTGCAGGAAGCTCACGGTGGCTGGTGCAGCATCACAGCTCTGCTCCTGTTGGCTGCACCCTGAAAGCTCAGCACTCTGCTCCCAGCACCCTGCGACAGCCCCAGGAGCTCCACGCGGCGGCTGAGAGGGAAGGTGAGTGTGCTGGGGGAGCTCAGACCCCTGAGTGCCACCAGCATGGCCTGTCCTTGCTGTGCACCAGGGCAGGATGGTGGCCCCAGGGCTGGGATGGCAGCACAGGGTGATCTCCCTGCAGGAAAGACCTGCTTGCTGACCCTCTGTGCCCCTGTGCTCCCTGCAGGCTGGAGCATCCACCATGAGGATCATCCAGACACCCAACCTCCACCAGCTGCCCCCCTGGTCTTGCTCCTGCCACGCTGCCTGCCCACAGGGCTCCCCATCCCCATGAGCATCCTCTTGGGGGCTGCACTCACCCACTGGGACCTCCAGCCAGCAACGCTCTGCGGTACTAAGGGACTGGTGCTCCCACTTCCCCTCCAGCAGCCCCTGTGGGCAGAGGATGACCAGCAGGCTCTGCTGAGCTGGATGTGGGGCTGGCCCAGGGACTCAGAGAAGCAGGATGGCAGCAGCAAGCTGGTACCACCGGGACATCAGCAGGGTGGTGGCGGAGGAGCTGCTGGCCAAGGCTGGGAGGGACGGCTGCTTCCTCGTGCGTGACAGCGAGTCGGTCGCGGGGGCATACGCTCTCTGCCTCCTGTGAGTCCTGCTCAGGCCTCTTGCTCTCAGCTCTTGCTGCCATCCCTCTGTCTCTCTTCCCACTCCTCTGGGCACTGGCAGAACCTCGTGGAAGAGCCTTCTGCAGGGATGGTTCCTCGGGCAGGAACCTGGGAGGAGGGAGCATCAGTGGTGTGGGGCAGCAGCAAACCCCTGAAATTAGAGAATCCGAGAATTTTAGGGGTTGGAATGGAGCTCAGAGCTCATGCAGCCCCACCCCCTGCCCTGGGCAGGGACACCTCCCACCAGAGTAGGTTGCTCAAGGCTCAGCCAACCTGGCTGTGAACACTGCCAGGGTTGGGGCAGCCACAGCCTCCCTGGGCAACCCGTGCCAGGTCCTGCAAGGATACTCACCCAGTGGGGTGAGCAAGGTGCCAACTCACTGGCACTGGGGATTTGGGTGATCCCCAGGTCAGGCCAGGGGAGAAGCCCTTGTTTTTGGGAGCAGAAGCCTGGGCCAGCAGCCTTGCCCAGCACAGTGGCTGC